ACACACAGACCCGTCTACACACAGACACACAGACCCGTCTACACACAGACACACAGACCCGTCTACACACAGACACACAGACCCGTCTACACACAGACACACAGACCCCTCTACACACAGACACACAGACCCCTCTACACACAGACACACAGACCCATCTACACACAGACACACAGACCCCTCTACACACAGACACACAGACCCCTCTACACACAGACACACAGACCCCTCTACACACAGACACGCAGACCCGTCTACACACAGACACGCAGACCCGTCTACACACAGACACGCAGGCCCGTCTACACACAGACACGCAGACCCGTCTACACACAGACACACAGACCCCTCTACACACAGACACGCAGGCCCGTCTACACACAGACACACAGACCCCTCTACACACAGACACACAGACCCCTCTACACACAGACACGCAGGCCCGTCTACACACAGACACACAGACCCCTCTACACACAGACACACAGACTCCTCTACACACAGACACACAGACCCCTCTACACACAGACACACAGACCCCTGTACACACAGACACGCAGGCCCGTCTACACACAGACACACAGACCCCTCTACACACAGACACACAGACCCCTCTACACACAGACACACAGACCCGTCTACACACAGACACACAGACCCGTCTACACACAGACACACAGACCAATCTACACACAGACACGCAGACCCCTCTACACACAGACACGCAGGCCCGTCTACACACAGACACACAGACCCCTCTACACACAGACACACAGACCCCTCTACACACAGACACACAGACCCCTCTACACACAGACACACAGACCCCTCTACACACAGACACGCAGGCCCGTCTACACACAGACACACAGACCCCTCTACACACAGACACACAGACCCATCTACACACAGACACACAGACCCCTCTACACACAGACACGCAGGCCCGTCTACACACAGACACACAGACCCGTCTACACACAGACACACAGACCCCTCTACACACAGACACACAGACCCCTCTACACACAGACACGCAGGCCCGTCTATACACAGACACACAGACCCGTCTACACACAGACACACAGACCCGTCTACACACAGACACACAGACCCGTCTACACACAGACACACAGACCCCTCTACACACAGACACGCAGGCCCGTCTACACACAGACACACAGACCCGCCTACACACAGACACACAGACCCGTCTACACACAGACACACAGACCCGTCTACACACAGACACGCAGGCCCCTCTACACACAGACACGCAGACCCATCTACACACAGACACGCAGACCCGTCTACACACAGACACACAGACCCGTCTACACACAGACACACAGACCCGTCTACACACAGACACACAGACCCCTCTACACACAGACACGCAGGCCCGTCTATACACAGACACACAGACCCATCTACACACAGACACACAGACCCGTCTACACACAGACACACAGACCCGTCTACACACAGACACACAGACCCGTCTACACACAGACACACAGACCCCTCTACACACAGACACACAGACCCCTCTACACACAGACACGCAGGCCCGTCTACACACAGACACACAGACCCATCTACACACAGACACACAGACCCGTCTACACACAGACACACAGACCCGTCTACACACAGACACACAGACCCCTCTACACACAGACACGCAGGCCCGTCTATACACAGACACACAGACCCATCTACACACAGATACACAGACCCGTCTACACACAGACACACAGACCCGTCTACACACAGACACACAGACCCCTCTACACACAGACACGCAGGCCCGTCTATACACAGACACACAGACCCCTCTACACACAGACACACAGACCCCTCTACACACAGACACACAGACCCCTCTACACACAGACACACAGACCCCTCTACACACAGACACACAGACCCGTCTACACACAGACACACAGACCCGTCTACACACAGACACACAGACCCCTCTACACACAGACACGCAGGCCCGTCTATACACAGACACACAGACCCATCTACACACAGACACACAGACCCCTCTACACACAGACACACAGACCCGTCTACACACAGACACACAGACCCGTCTACACACAGACACACAGACCCGTCTACACACAGACACACAGACCCCTCTACACACAGACACGCAGGCCCGTCTATACACAGACACACAGACCCCTCTACACACAGACACACAGACCCGTCTACACACAGACACACAGACCCCTCTACACACAGACACACAGACCCCTCTACACACAGACACGCAGGCCCGTCTATACACAGACACACAGACCCCTCTACACACAGACACACAGACCCGTCTACACACAGACACACAGACCCCTCTACACACAGACACACAGACCCATCTACACACAGACACGCAGGCCCGTCTACACACAGACACACAGACCCCTCTACACACAGACACGCAGGCCCGTCTACACACAGACACACAGACCCCTCTACACACAGACACACAGACCCCTCTACACACAGACACGCAGGCCCGTCTACACACAGACACACAGACCCATCTACACACAGACACACAGACCCGTCTACACACAGACACACAGACCCCTCTACACACAGACACACAGACCCCTCTACACACAGACACGCAGGCCCGTCTACACACAGACACGCAGACCCCTCTACACACAGACACACAGACCCCTCTACACACAGACACACAGACCCGTCTACACACAGACACACAGACCCGTCTACACACAGACACACAGACCCGTCTACACACAGACACACAGACCCGTCTACACACAGACACACAGACCCGTCTACACACAGACACACAGACCCGTCTACACACAGACACACAGACCCCTCTACACACAGACACACAGACCCGTCTACACACAGACACACAGACCCCTCTACACACAGACACACAGACCCATCTACACACAGACACACAGACCCGTCTACACACAGACACACAGACCCGTCTACACACAGACACACAGACCCCTCTACACACAGACACGCAGGCCCGTCTATAAACAGACACACAGACCCATCTACACACAGACACACAGACCCGTCTACACACAGACACACAGACCCGTCTACACACAGACACACAGACCCCTCTACACACAGACACACAGACCCATCTACACACAGACACGCAGGCCCGTCTACACACAGACACACAGACCCCTCTACACACAGAGACGCAGGCCCGTCTACACACAGACACACAGACCCCTCTACACACAGACACGCAGGCCCGTCTACACACAGACACACAGACCCGTCTACACACAGACACACAGACCCCTCTACACACAGACACACAGACCCCTCTACACACAGACACACAGACCCCTCTACACACAGACACACAGACCCATCTACACACAGACACGCAGGCCCGTCTATACACACTTCCTGCAGGCCCATTCTTTTTTTTTTTTTGGGGGGGGGTGCCAGGGCTCAAACTCAGGACGTTGTGCTCCCCAGGCAGGCGCCTGTGCGCTTGAGCTGTACCCGCCCTCGGTCTCTTTTCTTTCTAACCCACCGTGCCACTAGCAATAGAAACCATACCTTCCAAAACTGACTTCCCAGTCCCTCAGGGCTTGGGGCCTGGCCACCTCTTGGCTTCTCCCTCACCTTGTTGGGGTCACTGAGCCCCATCTCGGTTACAGCTCAGTACAGCATCTGGGACCCTGACCCTGACACTGGTCCTGACCTGACACTGACCCTCATCCTGACTCTGACCCTAGCTCTCTCTAGCCCCCTGGCCTTAGGCTTATCTTCGCCTCTGAGATATGGTGGGTATTTTCCTGGGTCACTTTGCTCACGGCCTGACATATATTTATGGCGGCCTGGTTTTTTTCTTTTGGTATCGTGTCGCTTATGGCTCACACAGCCCTGTGAGGCAGGACTTGGTTGCTGCCCCAGGGGCCCTGCCACCCAGCGGGCATGCAGCAGGCATCTGCAAAGCTCTGGGGACTCCCGAGTCCCTGGCTGGTGCCTCTGTGTCTGCTTCCCCAAGGCTCTTTCCCAGCCTGTGTCGTGTCTGTCACCAGTGTGACTGTCTGATTGCATTGGTGGGACAGGCTGGGGCAGATCTGAGAGTGCTGTGTTGGTGGCCCTGGTGTCTGTCACTTGGTGTGAACCCAGCAAGAGGAAACTCAGAATGACACCAGGGTTAGACAGCCTGAGCTGCAGTCACACCCGCCAGGTCCTGGTCCTCATGTCTCAGCTGGGCAGGAGCCAGGCCTCGGTAGGAAGAGGGTGCCTGGGGGTGAAGGGTGGCATCGCCTCCCAGAGTTCTCTGGCCTTTGTCCTGGGCTTCCTGAGAAATGGGGACCCCCAGACTCCGCCCATGCCTCATCCTTTGGCTGGAGCCAGGGCCGCTCCATCTGCGCCAGGCTCCCGCCCTGTCCATCGTTTGTCACCCTTCCTCCATGCCCCTCATTCACAAGGGGCCTGACCCCCTGCACGGTCCAGAAGATACCAAAGCAGCCCTGACCTGTCAGCCCTGGTGCTGGCGGCAGAGCCCGGCTCCTGGGCAGAGGCCTTAGTACCCTGTCCCTTCTCTCCAGGCTCAGTCACCCCAGCAGGGCCTGGACTCTGTGCATCCAGGGATGAGGTGGCACATCCCGGGGGTCAACCTGGCACCCTTGCTCTGCTTGGGCTTGGAGGTCAGGGTCCCCAGGCCTCCGGTAGGTGTCTCCTGTGGTGACCAGTGTGGGCCCTGCCCTGCTGTTGCAGGCCCATGTGGAATGAATGAATGAATGACCGTTCAGAGCCTGGGACTCCCTCTGTTCAGTCCCCAGGGGGCTCGGTGGGCAGAGGGGGTGCGGGGCCGCTCCTTCCCGCCCCTCCACAACGTCTGCTCCCGCCCGGGGACGCAGGACTTGGGGGCGCTGGGCGCAGGGGGTGGCGCCCGCGCTGAGTGGCGGCTGCGGGTCCGGCCCCGGCGGCGCGGGGGAGCGGCGGAGGGAGGGAGAGCGAGGGAGGCGGGGTGCGCAGGGCGGCGGCGCAGCAGCGAGCGTGTGCCGCGCGGCCCAGTAACCAGGGACGACCGCGCAGCCCGCGCACCCCGGCCTCCCCACGCCTCGCGCCCTGCGCCCGGGCGCCCCGGCCAGGCCTGTCGCGGGGTGCAGAGGAGCACGCCGAGCCCCGGCCCCGGCGGCGCGCTCACGGCGCAGACAAAGGCGCGGCCCCGGCCCGGCCCAGCCCGGCCCAACCGCTCCCGGGGGGCGCCCTGACCAGCCAGGCCCGGGGGCGGGGGCGCGGCCGCCGAGGATGGGGAAATCCAACAGCAAGTTGAAGCCCGAAGTTGTGGAGGAGCTGACCAGGAAAACGTACTGTGAGTCCGCGGGGTCCCCTACCCCGCCCCCCCCCCCCCACGGTCGCCGCAAACCCGCGCCCCCAACGCCGCTGCCGCCTCCACCTCCCGCATCCGTGCCCGCCTGGACCCCGAGGCGCGCCTCGCCCGCCCGCACCTGGCCCTATTGTTCTGCCCCCCTCCCCCCCAGCCCGGGCCCTCTGTCGCCTGTCACCGTGCGCGGGGCCACCCCCAGGCCATCCGCAGCGTCCTCCCCAAGAACCGTCCGGAGGGGCAGGGGGTGTGCGAGGGTGGGGGCGGGGGTCGGGAGGCGCCCCCGGGTGCGGTGACTAGGCCCTGGGTGATTCACGCATCACGCTGCTGCCGCTGCTGCAGGCGCTGCCAGCTCGCTTGTCGCCCCCTCCCTGGCCCGATCGCGTGTGGAGGGGCGGGAGACAGTGCTGTTGACAGCGACAAGAGGGGTCCTGTAGCCCCAGAGGTTGCCGCATTTCTAGGCTTAATGCACCTCCTTCCTCGGGGCTGTGGGTCACATGGGAAATGGGTTTGTTCTGCAGCACAGTCCGATCGGGTGGGTGCCACCATGGAACCCCGGGGGCATCCCCTGGAAGGAAGGCTGGCCTGCTTGGGACGTCGTCCTTCCCTCTGGGTCGCTTCTGTTGCCAACTTCACCCATCTTCGGAGCCCCGCAGCCTCTCCAGGGGTGGCCCGGCACACTGGGGGTTAATGCCATGGTCCTGAGAACCCATCTTTCCTCTGGGAAGGGGACAGGAGTGTGGGATGCATGGCTGTGGCTAGGGGACCCAGCCTGGCTGTTGGAATTGGACAGTGGCCCTGGGCTGGTTGGAGCCTAGAAGCTGCACCTGGGCCCCAGGATGGGCTCAGCCCCTAGCCCAACTCCTGGAGCCCTGGTGGGCAGCTAGGGCTGCTGCAGCCTGAGCTCCCTGCCCCCCACGCCGCTGGACTCCTGGGCACGTCCGCAGATCTGGCAGAGTCCATGCCCCGTGTCCAAGTGTGCTAGGAGCCAAGGCGGGGCTTTCTGGCTGGGCACTGGCACTGGTGGACGGGCGAACGAGGGAGTCACAGCCAGGAGTTGCCACCTCTGTCATCCCGGGTGTCTGGGTGGCCCTGTCTGGTCTGGGTTTGTGCTCTAGGGTGTTCTGGGCCCTTTCCTAAGCTCGACCCAGATGTGGTCTACAGCTGTCAGCAGGTAGGCTGCAGGTGGGACCCTCTGGCCCCCGGGGAGGGAGGGCGCCCTGGGCTGCTCCAAGGCTGGGGGTGCGGTGGCGAGGGCCATTGTGCACCGTGCCAGGCTGGGTGTCCTGGTTCTTGAGCCCTGTCAGTGTCCATGGACTCCGAGCTGGCTCTGTGCAGGGTGGGGAGTTGCTATCTGTGTCTCCAATGGGGAAACTGAGGCTGGGGGTGGGCAGAGAGGCAGGCCCAAGGCGCCACAGGTGTGCAGAACCCGCACGCAGATGCATCTGCCCCACAGCTGAGCCAGGGGGAGACCTCAGAGCTCATGCCAGGGGCTCCCCGGTGTCCCCCTTCTGCCCTGTCCCCTTCCGGTTCCTGCTTTAAATCCACAATGACTGGCTCTGAATGCAGAGGGACCTGGGGAGAGGCCCTTGGGCCTGGCCTCCCCTGGGCGGACCTGTCAACTAGGCAGAGGTTGGGCCAGCCAGCTGGGTGAGGACCGGCTCCAGGCGCCGGGCTGGACTATTTTTAAAGCCTGTGCGGGGCTGGCACAGTTCTGGCCAGGCAGAGGGGTAGCCCGGGCCCCATTCCTCTGCCTTACAAGGAGTGGGCACACCTTGACCCGACTGTGTCCCTGCTGATGCCACCTCCTCAGGACACTGCCCTGGAGGCTGGCTGCTGCCCACTCACCTGCTGGCACTTAGGGCTGCGCCCGTTTGCTGAATGAAAGGTCTCCCAGCAGGATGTACAGGGAAGGTCTGTCCCAGTCCCAGTCAGGCTTCCAGGTGGCCTTCCTTCTGGCGGGCAGTGGTGCCACCTGCCTTTTGTTCTGGGGAATCTGCAGGCAGGGTCAAGGACTTTCAAATGTCCCTGTGTCCTGGAGAACTTGTTACAAGCTCCGAGGTGCCTAGTTTTCTCTTGTGGCCAGATTGCCAAGCCTTTAGGTTGGGGCCAGACCCCAGGAATAATCTTTATCGTTTGCTTTGAGACAGGGGTCTTGCCATGTGGTCCAGGCTGGCACATGACCCTCCTGCCTCAGTCCCTTGGGTGCTGGCCTTATAGGCTGTACCGCTACACTGGGCAGGGGTTTGGATCCGTGACAAGAGTCTGTCGTCCAGACCTCGTTTCGTGGAGGACCCAGAGCTGTGACAGATGCTGGGGGGTCCTAAGTCATCTCAGGCACAGCTGGGTACAGGGCCAGGAGGGTGCAGGAGGGACTCCAGATGTCTATGCCTGAGTGGACACTGGTGCTGTCCTCACTGGTGAGTCTGTGTGAGGAAGCCAGGGAAGGCCGGGGGCAGCTGCGTGGCCTTTCCGGGACACACGTGGAGTCCGCCTGTCTGGATCCCTCCTCTTTGAGCTGAACACCCCAGAGCAGACGGTCCTTTTCTTTTCTCCTTTGCAGACAAGATTAAAACATGAGTTAGTGCCCAGTACCCCGCTCCCTGGGGCCTGATGCAGCCCCTAACCCTGGACAGCAGCTGGGCAACAGCAGGGGCAGGCGGAGGAGCAGGGACCCCCTCCTGCCCCCAGCTTGCTGGGGCTTGCGGTCAGCATGGCCAGGTTTCTTTGCAGCCTGGCTTGCTCTGTCTCTTGTAGCTTAGAGGGAGGCTGTGGTACCCGTGTGCCCAGGCTGGGGGATGGGCCAGGCCCTCTCCCCGTGGGAGCCTCAGTTTCCCCATCTGAAAAATAGGCGTGCCAAGCTGGGGGTGTGAGCAGTCAGTGGAATACTGCATGTGCAGCTTTGGGCCTGGTGTGTACAGTGGTGGTCAGAGGCCAGTGGTCCTGGCTGACACAGTGACATTGCTTTGCTGTGTTGTTTGGGCTGTGCTTTGTCCCTATCTGAGTGAGGTCCATGAAGGACCCCACCAGGCCTCAGCCTCAGCCTCCCTGGACTGGGCTGTTCCTGCTAGGTGGCAAGCAGTCCCCCGGGATGCTTCTGTCCAGGACTCAGGGAGGTCACTTCCTCTTTGTCACCCTTGGTCAGCCCTGGCTATGTGTTGACCTTGCCGCCAACCTCAGGTCACTTCTGCCACCGCCTAGGATGGTGCCTGGCTTGCAGCGGCCATGAGGGAGCAGCTGATTCCCAGGGCAGCAGGGGCAGGGGGCAGAGGACTGGGGGTCTCTCAGTGCGGGGCTGTCCCCAGATCCACTTGGGCCCTTCCTATGGGAGAAAGACTTCTTTGACCAGTAAACTGCACTGGGCCCTGTGGCCTGGCAGACATGAGCTGCTCAGGAGCCGAAAGACCCCAGGGAGGGAGGCCTTCAGGGCCCAGCAGAACAGGTCCTTCTGCCAGACCTGTGACCCTGGGCAAGTTGCTCACTGTCTCTGGGGACCCAAAAGCTCACTGCTGGGCTGGTGTCTGCCGTGCAACCCCAGGCAACCCCAGGGATCCACAGCGGGCTGGCCGAGTGGGGCTGGCGGATGGGCCCGCAGGCTGCAGGCTCCCTGGGAGGATGAGCCTTGGGCTGTCCCCGGGCTCCAGCACTGTCCTGCATCTTCCTCTAGAAGCCTGGCTACATGGGAGGCCTCGGGGTCTGAGGGAATTGCGGGCAGCAGGAGGCTTTTTATGTTTTTTGGGGAATGGACCCCGAGGCCTCACAGGCTAAGCGAGCACTCTATTACAGAGCTACATCTCAGTTCTCCAGTCCTCATTCTGAGACAGGCTCTCACTAAACTGCCCAGGCTAAACTGGACCTTGTGATCTTCCTGTCTCAGCTTCCCAGAATGCTGGGATTATAGGCCTGTGCCACCAGGCCACAGTAGTAGGCGGGTCGGGCATAGTGCATGGATCCAAGGGACCTCTCAGCCTCTCAGTGCATGGATCCAAGGGACCTCTCAGCTTCTCAGGCAGCCATCTGCCCCACCGGTGGGACTCTCTGGTCAGCCATTGAGCCCAGCTCCTCCCCATAACCCGTGTCTGCTCTGTGCCACCCTGGTTCAGCTGCCAGGCTTCCCTGGTCTTGGAATGAATCCAGCTGCGAAGTGTGGGCCGTGGGGCACAAGGCTGGGAAAAGGCTGGGCCTTGTTGCCTGCAGGGGGCCCACAAAGGAATCTGGCTGTTCCCAGATGGGCCCTGTGTTCTGGAGGGGGGCGGCCGGCCCCACCAACTGACTTCCCTGGCTCTTGGCAAGGATTCAAAGAGCAGAACGGGGGCAGCTTGGAGCCTACAGTAGTCACAGTAAGGGACCCTGGGGTGACAGGAAGGACAGATTACAGATGTCTAGGAGGAAGGTTTCATTATCTTGTAAATTTGGGATTATCTATTTTTTATTTTCTAGCTTTTAAAAATCTAAAAGGAATGTCTGTCCTTCTCAGCAACCATTCTTTTAAAAAACATTTTTTTAAAAGTGGTGCCTCACAGGAATGCCATTTTTTTGTTTTTGTTGTGTTGTGTTTTGTTTTGGTTCTTCTGAGATGGGGTCACACTGTGTGACCCAGGCTGCCCTCAAACTCACAGCAACCCTCCTGCCTCAGCCTCCCGAGCACTGGCCATTGCCACACCCAGCTACGACATATTTTACTGACCGCCTGATTGTTGGACAACCAGGTTTCTTCTTCCCCTCAACAGTGCTGTAGTGGACATCTCTGCACGCACTTCTCCTTAAAGACAAGAAACCAAAAAAGGGGTTGTGGAGTTAAAAGCCGGGCACCTTTTAAAAGGCTTTTTTTTTTTAAAGGCTTTTGATTAAAAATTGTAGGCTGGGGACTGGGGATTTAGCTCAACAGCATAAGCGCCTGCCTTGCAAGCAGGCAGTCTTGAGTTCGATCCCTGGTACCGATAAAAACGAAAAAGATGAAGAAAAAAAAAAATTGTAGATTGCCCTTTAGAAGGATGCCCAGCCATCGTGGGAGGGGGCCCACTGGGCTGTGTTCCTGTCGGCCCTGGGCCTCCATCCATGCTGGCTTTATGGTCACCGGCATCGGGGCAGAGGCAGAAACGGTCACAAGCTCACCCTGGCATCGCAGCGCTGGGCTGGGGGGTAACACGTGGGCACTTAACAGTCAGGGCAGTGAGGCCCACAGTGCAACGTGTGTCCTCCGGGTCACAAAGAAGGCAGGTGGTGGGGACCAGGACCACAACACCCATGGGCGCCGCGCCTGTGCTGCAAGGTTTCCTTGGGGTACAGATGGGGTGCCCCCTACTGTTCAGAGCCGAGGTTAGGCACCTGCTCTTCCTCTGTGGGCCCTGAGTCGAGGAGACTGGTGGTCAGTGCCGTCCGGGGTAGGATAGACTCACAGCCGGGAGGTCAGATCGCCAGGGTGGGTCTAGGGTTAGTGCTCACAGTGGGCTCTGCCTGCTCAGGCTCTGTGACCCTGAGGAGCTGGGGGACCTTGCATGAGACGGGCTGGACAGCAAGGCCTTCCTGCAGGCAGGCTCGGGGACTGGCACTTAGTAAGCGCTTACTAAACACTTTCCCAGAAAGGCAGCCATGTCTTGGGGCAGGAGTCCTTGGCCACTCTGCTGGCCTCATCTGGGAGTGTGGCCATGGGTGACCTCTACATTCCTCTGCCAGTCTGTCTTGTGAGCTTCCTGTGTCCACTCCTGGCCAGAAGGGCCAGCTTCAGAAAACTGGGCTTGTAAATCTTTTTTAAAAAACTGGGCTTGTAAATTTTTTTTTTGTCTGAGCCAGGGTCTTGCTCTGTAGCCCAAGCTGGCCTCAAATTTACAGCGACCCTCGAGCCTCAGCCTCCTGAGTGCTGGGATGCCAGGAGTGTGCCACCACACCCTGCTGGGCTTCTAATCTGTGTGCTCCTGGGGCAGCAGCCTCCAGGGCTTCAGTCTCAATGCTGGTGGCCGTCTCGGTGACGGTGATTCTGCAGTCACCAGTCTCCTCCGGAATTCCATGTGCCACCTCTCACCCAGACCCCCCCCCCCCCCGCCCTGTGTTGACAGCCTTGGTCACCACCTCCTGGGAGCCCCCGTGTGACCCCGTCTTACAGATAAGGCCTGTGAGGCTGGTGAGTGGTGCCATCGGGTTGGAGTCCTGTCCTAATAACCCTGGAACCTGCACCTTGAACCCCAGGACCTGGGGCAGGGTCTACATTGGCAGCTGCCAGGAGGCTCCGTGGAGGTGCCAGCGATCGTGGGTGTCGCCGGCAGAGTGGGCGTTGCGGGTCACATGTGTAAGCCCGGACTCACGTGTGCACGCTGTGAGCTAGAGGGACGGGGTCACGGCGCGGGTCAGGAGTGGGCGAGCCTGTGCGAGCGCGCATGCGTGAATGGTGGTTAGTGTAGCGGTTCCTGGAGAGGAGCAAGGGCGGGAGACACGGCCGGCCAGGCTGGAACTGGAACCGGTTCAGAGGGGCGGGGCTCGGTGGCTGACTCTGGGATAGGCGATGCAGCTACCACTTCTCTGTCTCCACCTGCTGTGGCTGAGGTGGGTCCTGGGAACCCGACTGGCCACGGGCATCGGGAGGAGCGACGGCATCCAGGAGCACGGTTACCAAGTTCTCGGGGCTGGGAGTACAGCTGTGCCCATGCTTCAGACAGGGAAAAAGCAGCTTAGACATTTCCAGGCCTGGGCCAGTCTCCTGGCCAGTCAATGGCTAGCCTGGGGCTCAGGCCCTCCCACCATGAGCCTTACTTAGAGTTGCCCCTGTGGAGGTAGTGAGCTCCCATCGCTGGAGGCATCCAAGGCACTGATGGAGCATCAGACACTGCCTGGTCCCTGGGCTGAGTGTGGGGTAGAGCAGAAGGTAGGATCGGAACAGCCGGGAACGCTGCTTCCAGATGTTTTGTCTCCCGGAAGCATTTGGGGGAGACTTCTGCCTTGGCTTCCTTCGGGGGAAGGAGGCGGGGCTGAGGCAGTGGGGGAGAGTGGCTGCCTGGGAAAGCGTGGGACGTGTGTGAGGCAGCTATGACCAGATGCTAGAGGAAATCCCACAGAGAAGAGGCTTATTCTGGCTCAGGGTTTGAGCTGGTGGTCAGGTGCAGTGGAAGGGCCAGGCGGAGGGAGCTGCACTGGCCACGGCCGACCGGAAGCAGTGGGTCAGGGGAGGAGCCTGGGAGAGACCCCGCCCCGCCCCATCGGCAAGACCACGCCCACAAGACACGCCTCTTCCAGCCATGCCCCGCCCTCTACTCCTGCAAGCCTACATGGCCAGGAGGCCATGACCGGGGAACCGGGGAGCGTGTGGGCCGTGCTCCCTGTTCCCCGCCCCTATGCAGTCTCCTTTTGGGCTCCATCCGTCTCCTCGGAGGCCCCCAGTGCTGGTCGGGTGCAGCGATGGGTCCATGTCATGTCGCAGGCCTCCCGCAGTGAGCCTGGGCAGCGGCTCCATTTCACAGCACTGGCACTGGCCCTGCTCTTTTTTTTTCCTCCGTCTTTTAGAGACAGGGTCTCACTGTGCAGTTCAGGCAGGCCTTGGGCTCACTTTGTAGACCAGGCTGGCCTCGAACTTGCAATGTTCATCCTGCCTCAGCCTCCCAGTGCTGGGATGACAGGCATGCGCCACCATGTCCAGCTACTGGCTCTTGGGATGCCTGCAGCTGGGCCCGGGAGGGGAGGCGCACCATGGGTCCCCCTGAGCAGGTGTGGCTGCCACCACCCCGCACATGCCAGGCGCCTGGAAGAGGCTGAGACCACGTGGCTGCAAAGACACGGGATGGAGGGGACCCAGGTGACCTCCTGTCATGGCCTCTGGCCCAGTGCTCGGCCCCCAGCTGCGGTGTGTGCGCCTCTGCCCGGCTCCCGCGGGCGGCGCGGGAGGAATGCAGCTCTGAGGAATGTTTAACCGGCAGAAATAGCTCCTAGCTCCCAGCTCTTTCCGACCGGGCCGCGGCTCCAGAGCGCCTGCGCGGGGAGGAGGGGGAGGCCGTGCTCTTCCAGTCTCCTCCAGTCTTTGGGGGACTGGAAGTAGCCGCTTTTCTTTCTTTCTTGGTCCCGAAGCTGCCGTGGGGACCAGAAAGAGCTTGGGGTTTGGAGCCAGACCCCTGTGTGACCGCATCCCGGCCGGAACCTCTACTTTCTTCCTGCAGTGGAGGGGAGGGTGTGAGGAGGGAGAGTGTGAGGCCGGATGTCTGGCCAGCTGGTGTGGGCAGCTCAGGCTCATAGCCCCTCCAGGCCTGGATTCAAATACAGCTCCTGTGCTTATTAAGGCCGGATCCTTGGCCATTCCTTTTCCCACCGAGGCTCCCTTAGCCCATCTGTGAAATGGGCAGATGGTATCGAGGTTCGGGGAAAACATTGACAAAAGGTCCCCACCCATCCCAGGCTTCGAATCAGCCCTCTGCCTGGTAGCTTCCTAAGTGGACCTGGAAAACAGTCTTAGGGCCTGGATGCCAGGGTGAGTGGGTGACCTCTAAAGTGGGCCTCTGGCTGAACAGAGGCTGCTTATAGTCCAGCCCTTTCATGTACCCTTTCAGGGTCCCCCCCCCCGCGACCCTGAGTGGGACCCTCCTCTTTGCACACACATGGCTTTTAACTCCCATCTTCCGCTGGGCATGAGGGCTCTAAGGCAGAGGCTGTCTCTCCTTTCATGGCTCCCAGGCTCTGCCTGCCCGGGACTTGCAGGAATGAATGAAAACAGACACCCAAAACAGTGAGCTGGTGAACCGGTGGTTTCCTGCCGTGCACTTTGGGCCTTCGCTTTCTGGTCCCTCGGGGACGGGGGCTGGGGCGCCGTGGGCCTCCGTGGGGACCCCATTCCCCTCTTCATTCAGGGGCAGGAGAAGGCGGGGCCTAGCTCTCGCCCCGAGCCTGCGCTGTGGGAGCCGAGCGCGGCTGGTTCCTGGCAGCTATTTTCGGTGCGGCGGGGGAAGTGAGCTATTCTCCGTTGGAGAGCCCGGGGCGCGTGCTCCGGGCTCACGGTCTCTCAGCGTCTCACTTTTTTTTTTTTTTTTTTTTTTGGTGCGCTGTTTAATTAACAGAGAGCAGCGTCCCGGCCCCGCACTCGGAGCCGGGGCGGCCTCTGGCAGGGTTCGGGGACACCGTGCGGGGGCTGGGGCGAAGTCCTGGCCTGTCCTGACCCCCACCATCTGCTGCAGGCGCCCCACCTGGGGCCCTGTTCCCTGCATTCATAGCGCTCTGGGAGCACCCTGAGGGCTTTCAGATGGGCTCAGCTGACACCTGCGGGTACAGTGGCCGGGATTTCCTGAGACTGCGGTTTAGAGGGCGCCAGAGTTTGAGCCAAACCTGGCAGCTGGACCTAGGGAAGAATGGGAGATAAGAAATCAGTTAGAGGCTGAGGCAGGAGAGTTTTGGGGGAAGCTGGGTGTTTCGACAAAAGGAATGGTATCTTCCAGGTATTCAGGCTGGTCCACCCTGAGGGACATGGTGGTGCAGGCGGTGGTTGTTGGGGCACAGGCCATGCCCATCTCCACTCCAGCAGACCTGGAGCCGATCCTCTTGCCTCAGCCTCCCAAGTGCTGGGGTCCTAGTGTATGCTGCCCGGCTGGCATCCGACTTACCTCCTGCCTCCTCAGGCCCATGGTGACAGCCTGCCCTCTGCCCAGCCAGCCCTGGATCCCCCATACCCTCAGGACCCACAGGATGGAGTCCAGCCACGCCTCCACCCTTGGCTCTTAAAGGGCCAGAGCTGGAACCTGCACTGCCAGCTGGGCTGTTGGGGCTGCCTGGGTTCTGGCCTTGCACCCTGGAGTCCTACCCAGGGGGCTGTCTGCCCTGGGCAGCTCCAGGCAGGACCTTGGTGTCTGTCTGTCTTGTCTGGGCTGATGCTAGGTTGCTTAAGGGGCCAACTCTGCTTCCCGGGGTCTCTTCTTCACCCCTCAGCTCCCTTCCCTGCCCCATTGGTGTCCTTGCCCCATGGGCTGGGACAGCAGGGCCTGTGACTGAGCTGGGTGATGGTGACAGCGGTGGTCCAGTATCTGCTCCCTTCAGGGTTGCAGGCAGGAGGAAGGGAGCAGGAGGGAGTGGCCCTGCCTGGCCTGCCCTCGGGCACCTCATGGCCAGCACCCTGCCTTGCTTCTGCCCAATGTGACACCCTTGTGGGCACTGCTTGGATCTCGGCGTCCCCTCTGGGTGAAGCCTGGCGTTGGTACAGTGTGGTGGCCGGAGGGGCCTTGGACTCACTGCGGAGCCCAGGCTGGCCTCAAACTCACGGGGATCCTCCTGCCTCGGCCTCCTGAGTCGCTGGGATGCAGGCCTCTGCTTTTGCACCCAGCTTTTGGTGGTAATTCTCATTCTTTCTGGTGAGGTGCCTCTCTTTGGAGCCTCAGTTTCTCCATCATGGAAATGGGCTGTTGAACCCCTGCACCATTGCACAAGGCCTGAGGGGGCACAGAAAGCTCAGTTCGTGCAATGTTTGGGGCTCCGGAGGATCCCAAGCGGCTGAGAAGAAAATGACCGGGGGTGGCTCACACCTGCCATCCCAGCTGTTGGGAGGCTGAGGCAGGAGGATTGCAAGTGTGAGGCCTGCCTGGGTAATTTAGACTTGGTAATTTAAAACTTTAAAAAGGGGGCTGGGGATTTAGCTCAGCAGCATAAGCGCCTGCCTTGCAACTGTTGGTCATGGTACCGATGAAAATGAAAAAGACAAAAAAAAAAAAAAAAAAAAAAAAAAAAACTTTAAAAAGGGGCCAGAGTAGCAGAGCATGCGTCACATGCGTCACACCCTGGTTCCATCCCTGGCACCACAAATAACACGAAGACAATTGGAATTGGGGTTTTGGGGGCTCCAAGCTGTCCTTCTCACCTGAGCAATGGCTCCTCCCTGGCAGCAGCAGGAAGCTTCCCGTCTCAGCTTCCCATCCAAAGGCATCGAGACCCCTGATGTCCTGTCTTCACACTGCTCTCGTCACCTGCATTGGCACTGCCGCTCCTGCTGCCCTGTGCCCAGCTCTGCTTGTCCCCTCCTGCAGCCCCACACGGGGAAGGGGGACCCCAGCTTCCCTGGTAGCCTCTGCCCGGGGCTCCTCCCAGTGATCCCCAACCACACCCTGTACTTCTGAGACTGGACTGGGGACAGTATGGTGCATTGCCCCCCCTTTCCTGGGGGAGCTCTGCTCTGGGCACCCCAAGGAGGGTGAGGAGATATCCCTTCAAGAAGTAGGACTCCACTAACCTTTGACCCCAACCTAGAATGTGGGGTAGGGCACAGCTGGCCACATGGGGAGGTGTTGATACCTGGTGAGGGCTGAGAAGAGAGGTGCGGGAGCCTGGGATGAGGGGAGCAGAGCGTAGACCCCAGGAGACTGCATGGGGAGCATGGAGGCTGTTCTGCTGGCTGCCTGGCTGGAGGGAGGACACAGAGGTCAGGACCATCTGGAGGAACTGGACTGTCGGGATTTGCTGGGTGTGGTGACCCACCTGTCTTTCTCGGCACTCAGGAGGCTGAGGCAGGAGTCTGACCATGAATTGGAGGCCAGGCTGGTCTACAGAGCAAGATCTTGTCTCAGAATAAATAAGATAAAGTTAGAGGGGTCAGTGATAGCCAGGCCCCCACTTTCTCCTGGGGCCCCCGTACCAATGCCTGGGCTGCCCAGGGTGGGCGGCTGCCGGAGTCAGTCCTCACAATTTCGTCTGTCCACTTCTCAGTAGCCCAGCAAATAGCCGGGCGTGGTGGCTCACACCTGTAATCCCAGCACTCAGGAGGCTGAGGTGGGAGGATTGTTGTGAGTTGGAGACCAGCCTGGGCTACAAAGTGAGCTCAAGGCCAGCCTGAACTGCATGGGGAGATCCCCCCCCCCACCAAAAAAAAAGAGCCTAGCCAAGCGTGGTGACCTGGCCACCTGCTTGTGATCTCAGCTCCTAGGGAATCTGAGGCAGGAGGGTGGTGAGTTCAAGGATTGCCTAGGCAGTGTAGCAGGTTCCCGTCTCAAAATCCCAGGGAAGACCTGGCGTGGGGTGCAGCTTGGTGGGCGAGTGCTTGCCCGGCAGGTGTGGGGCACTGCAGAAAGAAAAGCACCACCTAGTGTGGTGGCGCTCACCCGGCAGTGCGGCCCTGGGAGGCTGAAGCAGGGGGGGTCACACGCTTCTGCCTGCCTGGGCGGTTCAGTAATCCTGTCCCCAACATACAGGGAAGAGCCGGGGCTGGATTCTGTCAGTACTGGAAAAAGGCCCCCCAGAACCCCTGTACTCTGACCTAGGGGTGATGGCTCCTAGGCTCAGAGAGGTTAAGTGACTTGCTCGGAAGAACCCAGCCTGCTGGCTGCAGCAGCCTGAGACCCGCTCCGCCCTGCCCTTGTCTGCCCACCTTGGCCTCTGTCCTGGTGCTGTGAGGTGGGGCCACAGCCGGGCGCCGCGGTGTGGGGGGAGGGCAGGTGCTGGAGGTAGGGTGAGAATCCAGCGCTGGGGTTCTAGTCCCCTAGTGGCTGCTGATGGGACCAGAACCCGTAGGTTTTGTTCTCTGGGTCTCCCAAGCCGGCCACTGGTCGGTCCATCGTGAGACCGGGGCTATGTGGATTCGGGGTGCTGGGGACTTTGTCCACGGCCCCCACCCCTAGGCCGGACAGCACAGGGAGCCCAGCGTCCTCGCTCCTCGATCCTTGCCGTGGGGCCTCCTCGTGGTCTCCGCACGCCCCCTCCCAGCCCCCCTCGGTCATCCTCCACTGGGGGCGGGCTGGGGTCACCGGCCACCGAGGGGAGAAGACGGGGTCATCGGAGAAGCGGGAGCCCCATCTGGGGGTGACTGCAGGAGCCCGGGGGGCAGCTGTGCCGGGCCTGGGCCCTGAGCGGCTGGGAGCCCGGAGGAGGAGGAGGAGGGGGAAGGTTGGATGGGGAGGAGGGGGAGGGGCGGCCGGCAGGCCTTGTTAATTTCACACTTGGCTGCGGCTGGAGCGACAGGTGGGGGATGGGAGGCGCGCAGCCGCCAAGGTCATTGCCGCACCTGGGCCGGGGAGCCGCGGGGAGGCTGGGACTCCTCTTCCGGTGCCTGTGGTGACGCTGGTCCTGGGCAGGGGCAGGACCCTGGCACAGTCGCCCACCTCCAGCGCTCCTGGCCACGCAGGTTGTGACCCAAAGAGGACCAGCACCCCGCCCCCGTGCCACAGCAGCCACAGCCCCCCCCGCAGCTCTGACGAATCCCAGTACAGGGCCCTCTAGTGTCGGACCCCACCCGGTCCGCCTGAACCCGCGGGGGTGCTCGCTGCCCGAGCCTCCCTCCCAGCCGGCTAGGGGGAGGATTGTGCGGCATGCCGGGTGTGTTCCCGATGTGATTGAGGCAGGAGGCTCACTCCGTGGATAGCGCGTCCTTCTCCGCGGGGTCTTGGCATTGCATTGTTTTGTAACTTGAGAGGCTGGCTGGACTAAGGTCACTCACCTATGGTTACATCTTTTGTTTGGTTTCATTTTTTGAGGCAGTTTTGCAGTGTAGGGCAGGTTGTCCTTGAACTCACTGTAGCCCAGGCTGGCTTGAAACTCCTGGAGATCCTTCTGCCTCAGCTTCCTACGTGCTGGGATGACCAGTATGCACTACCATGCCTGCCTGATTCATATTTATGGTCTATTAGAAAAACCCGGAGCGTCAGTCTCTGGTCCTATGAGGTACTTTAGTGCTCTGACTGACACTGGGTTAATCAAATCTCTCAGTCCCGGGAGCTCAGTCTTAGGCTCTGTTTCCTTCCTGGGACGTTGGGATCCCATCTGCCTGTGGGGTTCTTGTGAAGGTGCAGAGCAGTGAGCACATTCATTGCCCCACAAGCCCATTTTATAGATGAGGAAACCGAGGTTCAGAGAGGGAAGTGGTTTTCCTGAGGACACGCAGCTACTGAACTCAGGGCTGGGCCGGAGCCAGGTGGTCTGGGGCAGCCCCAGAGCCCGTGCCCCTGAGCTCCTTGCTGGGTCAATGTTAGTAGCAGAACCAGTGTTACTGTTTTTTGGGCCAGGGTCCCGCTGTGTCTCCCACGCTGCCTTGATCACACTGGATGACCCAGGCTGGCTTCATCCATCGCTGGCTTCCCTCCTGCTGCTGTGGGATCCTGGCCCAGCTCTCATAGGCCCTGCGTGTCCTGAGCTGTGACAGGTTTTGCAGTGTGGACTCCCCAAGTGTACGTGGCCCCCTCTCCCCCTAACCATTTGTTTATTGTGTGCCCCTTCACCCCTGAACCAATGTCCAGCTCGCCGGCTGCCTGGCTACCCCCAGGAGCTTCCGTACCTGCTGGGATTGAATTCTTAGGGACAGCTCTGTGTGGCAGGTACTGTTCTGCTAGCTTTACAAACAGGGAAACCGAGGCACAGGGAGCTCAGGGGCTTCCCCTTAGTTGCACAGAGGGGAGATGGTGGCCATGGAGGTGGCCATAGTCGGGTCAGGCTTGGCCCGGTGCTTTGTGGCCCGGCAGAGACTCGGCTTTGTCCATCTCGGGTTCAGTTCTCAGCTCCCGGCAAGATGTGGCTGGGCCCCTGGAACTGTGGGGGGAGGGCAGAATGGGGGCTGTGGGGCTGGGAGCTGCCCGGCTCAGCCTGGAACCCAGCAGCAGCCCAGGGCTGGGGAGCCAGCAGGGTCACAGACCCTCCCGTCCCAGGGAAGGGAACCCGGGAATCCAGGTGCTGCTGAGTGGCAGCGGGAGGACACGCAGTGCTCTTCATGCCAGGGTGCCTGGTGCAGAGGTCATACCTGGTACCAGTCTCCAGGGCTCGGGGTCCTGTTCCCCGGCCTGGGTGGGAGGAGGGGACACCAGGGCCACCAGCAAGCTAAAGGCCTCTCTTGTGTTTTCTCTTGCAGTTACCGAGAAGGAGGTGCAGCAGTGGTGAGTAGCTGCTGTCCCCAACCAGGGCCGGGGGTGGGGGCTCTGTGCCGGACATGGGTGCCTCCGGGTGCCTGTGACCGGGGGACGGTGCCCTTGGCCTCTGCTTTCAGAGCTGGTCGGGGTGGGGGCTTCCTCTTGTGGCCCCCAGGAGAAATCTCTGCCCCTCTCTGCCTCAGCTGCCTCTTTTGTAAAATGATCCTTCAGACCTGGTCAAGGTCGATTTCCTCTGGACACTGCCCAGGTCATCACGGAGGCTGCTGCCCAGTCACTGTGTTAAGAAGGTTCTGCGGTTGGATGGGTGAGCTCTGTGATGGATTAGTGATGCCTGCTCCTGGCAGGGGTGCAGGGTGGCTTGTGTGTCTCTGTGACTGGAGCAGTGGGGGAGACTGGTCTCCTCCTCCAGGGAGCCTTCCTAGATTTCAGCCCTCCCCACGCGTTGGGCAGCCATGGGGTCTTTGCCTGGCTTCTGTGAGGCCCCGCCCTGGGCCATGGGTGAGGTCATCACCCTCAGCTCCGTTATGTGGTTCCCAGACCCTGTTCAGGCCAGCACTGCTGGCCCCTCCAGCTGTGCTGCCTCCTCTCTTCCCCTTCCCCCTTCACATGGAGCTCCATCCCCATCCCTTTATGTTTGTCTGTCTGGCTGTCTTTCTTTCTTTCTGTACTGGGATTGTATTTCTTACTTTGAGACAGGGTCCCCTGTAAATCTCTTAAGTTGCCCAGGCTGACGTAGAACTTGTGATCCTCCTGCCTCAGCCTCCCAGTGTTGGGATTACAGGAATGCAGGGGATAGCCAAATTCCCAGTGCCCTTCCACCTTTACCCTCTGGCCAGCCTTAATTACTGTCCCTTGAACTTGCACTGTTCCTGGGTCCTCCTCCCTGTCTGCTCTGCCCCCCCCTCCAGCCCCTCCAGGAACCTCCCTCCTGGCAGGGTGGGGGGCCCTCTTACCTCCCGCTGACCTGAGGGATGGCCTGGGATGCTCAGTCCCTCTCTGCCTCCCCTAGCTGCCCTGCGTGCTTCTCACACTTCATCTGGTTGACTCCTGGGAGCCATGTGTCAGATGGGGAAACCGAGGCTAAGAGGTGGCCCCAGTCGGTGGGGTGATGTGAGGTGGGGAACCCCCAGACCTGGGCGGTTACCCCAATGTGGATATTTGAGTGACACGTGAAGGATGTAGCAGAGACTTCCTGGAGCCATGAGCAGGCCCAGCAGACCCCAAGGAGGCCTGGACACAGCGGGGCAGGGGTCAGTGTCGCTGGGAGGGCAGGCGGGGCGGTGCACACCGGTAATCCCAGTGCTGGAGAGACTGAGGCTGGAGGATGGCCAGGAGTTCAAGGGCTGACTGTGTCTCAAAAAACAACAAAAGAAAGCAAAACAAGACAGGTGCATGAGCTGCCTCCTCCTCACCGCGCCCAATAATGGGTAGGAGGAGAAGGTTCATTTGGTTCGTGGTTGGCATATTCAGTCAGTGATTAGCGGGCTCAAAGGCATGGCGGAGGGCTTGGCAGAGGAAGGTGCTCATGTCCTGGTAACCAGGAAGCAGAGGAACAAGGGAGGAGCTGGGGACAGGCATGTGCCTTCCAGGTCACATCTCCGTGACCTCTGTACCCGGGCCCTGGCTCCCCATGAGTCGATTTCCTTCCACAGTGCTGCCTCTAGCCACGTGAGCCCTGGGGAATCCTAGACCTAAACCCTAACGCGACCCACAGGCCCCCTCGGTAGTAACAGCAGCCTCCTTGCGGACTCTGTTCCCGCCTGGCCCTAGCAGACAACAGGAATGGATCACAGGTCACATGCGGGCGTCTATCTCCTCCAGCACCCTGGGCAGTTGTGACCACGGCTGGCAAACCTGGTCATTGTCCCTTGGCTGGCCTGAGCCTCACGCCAGGGCCTGCGGGTTATAGGCTGGATCCTCAGGTCTCTCTCTGTCCCCTTTGCTCCTCTCATGGGAGACAAACCGGACAGTGGTTGGCCATCCTGGCAGCCCGCTGGCAGCCTCTCCGGTGGGACAGTTGGGTTCCTGAGCCTAGCCATGGGCGGCTGACACAGCAGGGGTCCCGTGCCCTTTGGATGGTGTTGGGGTTTCCTGTGGGTACCCCAGGAAGAGCTTCTGCGAGTAGAAAGGGCTGGAGGGTGGTCTCCATGTTAGAGTGCATTGGTGGCCCCAGGGTGCTGGGCGGTGGGACCGCAGATTGTGGGTCCTTTTGACCATCTTGTATTTTCTGTTTTCCAAATTCCCTTTCTTGGGTAATAACCAGACTTCTTAGCAGAAGGAGTAAGCAGAGGGTGGCATCGGAAGGGATCCTGAGGCATCTGGGCAACACCCACCGGCCCATCCCTCGCAAGGGAGGGCAACAGAGAGCAGGAGGCTGTTTCCCTAGTGCCCTCCCCAGCCTGTCCCTGGAGCAGTGCCCTGCGGTGTGAAGTCCCAGGAGTGAGCCCATTGTGCAGATGGGACAAGGAGAGGCCGGGAGAGGGAGCCATGGCCCTCTGGGCTGCATAGCTCACTGTGTGGTGTGGGGTTTGCGTCCTCCTCCTCTCCCTCCTCCTTGCTGGCTTCTGGCTCAGGGGAACCCACAGAGCTGAAGTCCTGGGGGGCAAATGGAGGAGGCTTCCTGCAGGGAGTTTGGGGAGGGAAGTGGGGGAGGGATGGTGGGGACCCATCGGCCACTGCCTTGCCCTCCTGGGAGGTCCCTTCCCCAAGGCCTGCCAGCTGTCCCCACCCGATGCAGCTGCCGCATTGTCCTTGACGGTAGGCCAGGAGCCGAGTGCTGTGGAGAGCAGCGAGTTCCAAGGTCTCGGCAGCTTGTGGGGCACCAAGTGGGCGGTGTTAGGGCTGCACAGGAATGGGTCCCTGGTGTCTGCTCCGGCACACACGTTCATTCTGTCCCTGCTCGGTGCCTGCTGTGTACTGGGCTAGTGCTGGCTGCTGGGGCATTGGTGCGGTGTGGGTGGCAGTCTCCCTGGGGGTGCGGATGGTCAGCCCGGCTAGGCCTGCAGGGGGCTGGGGGAGGCGGGAGCGGCACAGGCACCCAGCCCTGGAGTTTTCACTGAGGCTAGGCTTCTCTTCCCGCCCCTGGCAGTGGTAGTGAAGGGTCAGTGGGTGGCTATCCTGCTGGGCTTTCCCGCCCTCTCCCCAAGGCGTCTCTCCACGTCTCTGCTGTTGGTGCAGCCCTGGGCCTGCAGCACCTCCCAAGGGGCGGTCCCAGTACCTTTCTCCCTTCCCACAATGCCTGGCAGGGGCGTCATGATGACCATAACGAGGGGACCCCACCTGGCTGTGCCCTTTCGCTGCACACTTGAAGCATTGGTTTGAAGTTGGGGCCTGCATGGAACACTCCGGGCCCCTCGGTCCGCTAGGGCCTGGAGATTCTGGGGCTGGGCCCAGACTTCAACCTGAACCCTGACCTGGTCACGCTGGGGTGCCAGGCCGCCCCTCGGGTCCTCTCTGCCCCTCTGATGGGCCCAACCTGAGCCAGCAGGGTGTGGAATGAAGCTGGAGGTGCTGGTGGCAGTCAGCCTCCCGGAACCCCCGGCCTGCTCCCCATAACACTGCTTCCGGCCATGTGACTGTAACATTGGCTGAGAACCGCCGAGGGCAGCGGAGCTGGACCGTCCCTGCCTCAATGGCCCAGGCAGGGCCTCAGGGACACAGTCTCAGCACCCTGGGAGACCCAAGCCCCGTCTGGGGACAGGGTGCCGAGTGTCCCCTGTCTGCGTGACCCAGACGGATGAGCAAGGACCAGGGGCAGAGCAGGCTGGGCAGAAGAAAGGGCCTTGGGAGGCCCCGAGCCAGCAGGGCCTCAGTTTCCCCATCGCCAAGGCAGGTGTCATGGTCCCCGCCTCCTGGGTCTGTTGGTGGCTAGAGGATAGGGACGCTGCCACGACTGTATAATTCACCATATAATAACGCAGAGGGCGGTCTGTCCCCAGACGTCAGGAGTGACAGGTAGGGCCATGTGCCGTGCGGGGCGCCTGGCAGGGTGTTGGCTGCTCGGGCAGAGGAGGGGCTGGCAGGCCGGGACCTGCCCCCCGCCAGGAGGAGCAGGAGTCTCATCTCTTGGCCACCCAGGATGAGGCACCAGGCACTGTGTGTGTCATAAGGTGCAGCTCCCGCTGAGGGAGGGGTGCGGCCGCTTTGGGGTGGCCCCTGTGCCAGCTTGGATGCCCAGCATGAATCTCTGAATTACAATGAGGCTGGAGTCTGCCAGGTGATTGGAGATCTGGGGCGGCCTGTGTAGGAGGAGGCTGGGGAGGCGCAGAGCGCCCCTTCCCTCTGCTGAAGCCCAGCCAGGCGCCCTCCACCGCTCTGGGTGAACAATGGGTTACATAATGTTTGGGTACAGCAGCTTTCCTGTGCTGTGCGGGGGTGGTGCAGCCCCACTTAGGGGGACAAGGGGGCTGGGAGGCTGCAGCTGGGATCCGAGCCCTGTTTCTTCTGCTGAGGACTTGCTGTGTGACCTTGGTCTGTTCCCGCCCCTTCTCTGGGCCTGCAGTGGCCCATCTGTACACACAGGTGTCTCCTTGCCTGCTCAGGAGCTCCCAGGCCCAAGCCTGGGTCTGTAGGCCGGTTGTCTCTGCCCCACCTGGCGGTTGACATGGATGCATTTTCTGGGCCCACATGGTGCAGGCTGCAGGCAGGACACACTGACATGGGGCATCCAGGGGCTTGAATTCCAGGGAGGGCACAGCCTGCTGGCAGATGTGATTAGCGTGGTGCCCACTGGGCACAGAGGACACCGTGGGGGCCCAGTTTGGTGTGGGGGCCTGGCTGGCTCCCTGGAGGAAGCAGCTGCTGAGTGGGTCATGGTGAGAGGGGGTTTGGTTCAGGTTGGCAGGCTGTGTGTCCAGGTGGTCATCATAGTGGACAGAGAGTGGGCTCAAACACCCAGTGCTACTTGACCAGTGGCAGTGAGCAGGGTAGGGGTTCCTGGAGGGGAAGTGACCAAGAGGAGCCGGGCATGGTGGTACGTGTCTGGGAGGCTGAGACAGGAGAATCATAAGTTCCAGCCCAGCCTGGCAGTTTATGGAGACCCTCTCTCAGCAATCAAAAATAAAAAGGGCAGGGGTGAAGCGCAGTGTGAATCCCCAGGGTAGCACACAAAGGGGGGAGACAGAGAGAGAGAGAGAGAGAGAGAGAGAGAGAGAACTCAGCAGGGTGGGAGGTCACCGACCCGACTTGCTGCTCAGTGAGGCAGGACCAGGACCTTCTGTCCAGGGGATGAGGAATTTGATTGGACATCACCTGAGTGAGCAGGAACCCGTCCACTGTGGGGCCGGGCAGGTTGGCGATGGGGCAGCCAGTGCTGCCAAGCGGAGAGGATGTCTCAGGAAGCCTGAGGACTGTGGGCTCGCTGGGCCTGCTGGAGGTGGTGGGGTGCAGTGTGGCCCCAGCCGGCTCCCCGAGGCTGCTCAGCACCCCGGTCCGCCTGCCCGGGAGACCACAGAACTGGCAGCAGGGCCAGGAGTCGCTGCCAAGCATCTTTTATCTTCATGGTCTTTAATAGCCTCTTAGATTCTCTCAAGTAAGGCAAACCACAGTGACAGAGAGGTTGGCAGGGCCACAAGAGCCAGACCAGATGGTGGCTCACGCATGTCTTCCCAGCACTTGGGAGCCGGAGGCAGGAGGGTTGCTGAGAGTTCAAGACTAGCCTGGGCTACTCCTGAGACCCAGTCTCAAAAAAACAAAACAAACAAATACCCTCCTGGCCTCCAGGGTCAGGGGGAGTCCTGGTGCTGGGCATGTCCCCACCTGTGCCCAGCCCATGCTGGCCTGGTGCCTTGGCGTCGTGGACCAGATCTCGTCCCTCAAACTACTCTTGTTGGCCCAGCAAAAGAAGCCCAGGTGGCAGCTTCAAGGGAAGGAGTTTGGGGCTGGGCTCCTCCTCCTGCAGCGGGAGGGGCAGCGCGGCTGTTCCCAGCTCTGCGCCCCCCGCCCCATGAGGGGAGCAGGAGAGTCACTGGGGCAGAGCTGGGGCCTTAGGTGACCAGCAGGGTGGGGACAGGCTCTGAGCCTGTGGTCCTCATCGCAGGATCGTTGGGGGCATCCTTGTAAGCTGAGGTGGTGACACAACAGGGACATGTGGGTGGCTGAGCACAGAGCCAGGCGACAGGGTGTCCTCAGCTATTTCCAGGGGTCCTCAGCACAGCCTGGGACCTGCCATGGTTGGACGGACATCTGGCCTCTGTGACTCAGGCCTCCATGGCCCTTGGCAGCTCGTGTGTCTCCATCCAGCTTGGTCCCTTAGGTCTGAGAGGATTCTCCCACAATCCTCTCCTCCAGCCATGGTGGGATGAGTGGAATCTCTGTCCGGATCGTAGCTGGTGGTGTGGATATCAGTGATCTGCTCTTCTGACCATCGGGACTCGTGATTGTCCACCTTCTGTCCCCACCTCTGATACACCCAGGCTAGGGGACTCTTGAATGACCTCAGTTTTGCCATCCTTAAAATGGGATTCCTGGTAGCTCCTTGCTCCTTGGGGCTGTTGCCACCACTCAGAGAGTATGATATACTGAGTTCCTTGCCTCGACTGGCTCGGAGGAGGTCACACCAGTGCTGATGAGGGCAGAGCCCTGGCTCCCGTAGTGGGAAGGACTTGTCCTGGGAGGCCAATGTGTCCCCCCCAGGGAGTGGGGCTTGCAAAGCCACACACAGGAGCCAGTTTGTAAATCAACTAACATATATTGAAGTTCACAGTGCTAAAGAGCAGGCTTTTATTCATTTATTTAGTTATCAGGAATCAAACTTAGGACCTTGAACTTGCCAGGCAGGCGCGTATGCTGCTGAGCTACATCCCCAGCTCTAAAGCAGGCTTTTTTTTTTTTTTGTCTTTTTCGTTTTTATCTGTACCAGGGATCGAACTCAAGACTGCTTGCTTGCAAGGCAGGCGCTTATGCTGCTGAGCTAAATCCCCAGCCCTAAAGCAGGCTTTTAGTGACAGGATGGGGCAGTGCTTTGGCCGAGGTCATGACTGCTCTGCCCTGCCTCCCGGGGGGGGGGGTCCACATACCATCTCCCCACCTCCCAGATGCCCCTGATAAACAGCCACACCCTTTCCCAGTTGTGGAAATGGGGGTTCAGGGAGGTGAAGGCATTTTCCCCAGGCTGCCCGCTAAGGCAGAGTTGGACTGGGCTGTGGACGCCAGGCTGAGGCCCTGTGCTGGGCACTGTAGTAGGGAGACAAGTCCAGGTGGACACCCCAGAGTTGGATTCATGAGAGGCGAGTGTATTGGAATAGAGCCAGCTGCCAGCTCCAGGGGGCTTTGGTACCCCAGGGTGCAGGGAGGGAGTGTGTGTAGTGCTGGAGTTACTTTTTTTTGTGCCTACTATTGGACTCATGATCTTGTGCTTGTCTGGCAGGTGCCATGCCGCTGAGCTGTAACCCCAGCCTGTGTGTGTGTGTGTGTGTGTCTTTTTGAGACAGGGTCTTGTTATGCAGCTCAGGCTGGCCTTGAGCTCACTTTGTAGTCCAGGCTGGTCTCAAACTTGCAACAGTCCTCCTGCCTCAGCCTCCCAAGTGCTGGGATTACAGGCCTGCGCCACCACGTCCAGTCTGGGGTTAATTTTTCGTTCTGGTGTGGAGCCAGGCAGTGCTCCGGATGCAGTATCTGCGGACCCCATGCTGACTCTTCTTCCTTATTGCAAAGAGGATCAGAGAGGCAGCATTACTTGTTCCGGGTCACAGAGATGGGCTCACGCCTTGATGGCCGAGTGTGTGTGACATCTCTGGGGTGACTCTGGGCCAGGATTTGCCCATCTCCTGGTCCTAGGCAGGCACTAGGGCCTGGCCCTAGTGCAGTGGGTGACACAAGTGCCCCTTTGCCCTGTCCCCGCCTCTGTCCAGGTACAAGGGCTTCATCAAGGACTGCCCCAGCGGGCAGCTGGATGCTGCTGGCTTCCAGAAGATCTACAAGCAGTTCTTCCCCTTCGGAGACCCCACCAAGTTTGCTACGTTTGTCTTCAACGTCTTTGATGAGAACAAGGTGAGCTGAGCTGGGCGCAGATAGACGCCTGGACCAGTGAGCCCCAGTTCCGGAGTTGGGTGCGCGCTGCGGCGGCTTCCGGAGCAACACGCATGCGCATAGGTGGGCGCACACTCTGCGCATGCGCACAGGAGAACACACGTGTTCGTGTGTGACGTACCTAGAGGTGTACATACACACCTGTACATGCGCATATGCGCACACATGGACAAGCATTTAAACACTGAATTTCCCTATGAGCACAAAGGGCAGATCTCAGTAGCAGAGTTAACAATCATCACTGGCATTTCCTGAACATTGATGATGTGACCAGGCCTCAGCATGGGCTGTGATTAGCGATCAGCGGGCCTTCACAGGCACCCGTGGGGTTGGTGCCTGGTGTCCTGGGTGAGCTACATCCCAGCCCTTTCTATTTATTATGGAACAAAGTTTCACTAAATCCCGGACTCACCTAGGCTGGGTTCAGACTTGCAGTCCTCCTGCCTCAGCCTCCTAGAGTGCTGGGATGACAGGCATGGCCGGGAGAGGTACTCGGACAGTGGCAGGCCCTGCTATGGGGCGTCCCTACTTCCTCCCTGGGTGCCCCAGGCTGGGGTCACCCTTCCTGCCTCTGTCTTCTTCTCTGGCCCGTGCCTGCCGTTGTCTGTCACACCCCTTCGAGGTCTGCCTGACCTCGTGGCCCCCTCTGCCTTCTCAGGACGGGCGGATCGAGTTCTCCGAGTTCATCCAGGCGCTCTCGGTGACCTCGCGGGGAACCCTGGATGAGAAGCTGCGGTGTAAGCACTGTCCCCGCCCCTGCAGCTGGGGTGGGCTGTGGGGGGTGGTCCTGGGCATAGGGGGACAGTCCTGGGGCAAGAGGAGCAGGAGCTGAGATGCCCGCTGCAGTGGCTGCGGTGGTGGCTTACCCTCAGGGGCTCACAGAGGTGTCAGGGACCAGAGGTCGAGCAGGTGAAAATGGGGTATAGCACGCGCTATGGGATGGGCTTGAAGGCCCCAGTTCCATACTTCATCTGTCTCCTTGGTAGCCACTGTTCTATTGATTTCACGCAGTCGTTCAACAAACAGGGAAGGAGTGTGACTTCAAGTCTGGCGTCAGGCAGGAAGTCAGGGTTCCCTGGGTAAGGGGTCCCTGCTCTTAGGGCTGGCAGTCAGGACCTCCTCATGCCTCCCTGAGGCCAGGTCCTGGGTCCCCGCTTCGTCCCTCCACACCGTGCCCCACTTAGTATTTTCCTGAATGTGATTTTAGTGATGGTGCACAGTCGTGATGGTGCACAGTCGATCTAGTCGTGATGGTGCACAGGTGGGGCTCCCATGGCTGGGCATTGACGTGCAGCATGGGGGAGCCCTGGAGCCCCCCACTGCCCTGGCCAGGGTCGCTCAGCCTGGCTGCTTGATCCTAGGGGCCTTCAAGCTCTACGACTTGGACAACGACGGCTACATTACCAGGAACGAGATGCTGGATATCGTGGACGCCATTTACCAGATGGTGGTGAGGAGCTGGGGGAGGGCGGAGGGGTCAGAGCTGGGGGCCAGCGTGGCCCTCGGGGTCCCTCTGGGCCTGGTGACTGTCTGGGGCAGACAGAATGTGCCAGGTGAGGGCCAGGCTGGAGAGCTCTGGACATTGCTGGGGCAGCTGGGACAGGGTGGACAGTGGGGCAGGGCGCTGTCAAGGGCAATGGGGAAGACAGCGGGAGGGAGAGGCAGGTCCCAGCTGGACGAGGCCAGGCCTAGGCCACGAGCCGAACCCAGGGTGCCGCGCTGTCCCGGCAGGGAAACACTGTGGAGCTGCCCGAGGAGGAGAACACGCCCGAGAAGAGGGTGGACCGGATCTTTGCCATGATGGACAAGGTAGTTGGGCCTCACTGGGCGGGAAGAAGTGAGGGCAGGGAGCAAGGACTCTGGCCTGGCTTTACCCCGGACCCCTAGGTGACTGCCTAGTGTCACAGCCACCAAGTGGTGGCCACTTCCATCCAGTGTGCAGACTTCTGAGTTTACCCATCGTGTCCTTGGCCTTCCCCCCCCCCCGACCTTTTTTTGAGACCAGGTCTTGCTATGTTGCCCAGGCCAGCCTCAAACTTTCGGTGATCCTCCTGCCTCGGCCTCCCTGAATGCTGAGATTATAGGCAGGCCCCACAGTGCTCAGCCTATTTACTTACTTTTTTTTGCTGGGGACTTCTGACCTTTTGGAGGAGTCTAGGGATTTCTCAGAATGAAGGCTTTCCCTGCATAAGATGAAATCCATAGGGTCACAAGGGGAGCTGCTCAGGAATGTGGCTGTCAGAGTGTTTTATAAAGACCACGTGTGGGACTCTGTAATGCATGAGCCTCCTGGTCCACTCCCTAAACAGCGCAGCATGGCAGTGGGTCAGGGCTGGGGTGGGGCTTGATGGTGATTGCTTGCCAGGCCATTGGGTGTGAGACCCTTTGTTGAGGCCACAGGGCTACGGGACAGCAGCTCGGGGTGTGGCAGTCCCATCCATCAGAAGCTGTGGTGTTGGCAGTAACCATGCTGTGTTATGCAAGGGCTGCAGGGTTATGGGCACTGCTGGCTGGCGGGTGGGCATGGGCAGCAGGGGGAGGTGTCACCCAGAGTCACAAGGAAGGGCCAGCTGCATTTCCGCTAAGCCTTCAAAAAAGGAAAGGCTGGTTTTCCCCTTCGATGTTCACAGACCTGCTGAATTCTGTCTGCAGACTCCAGGCTAAGAAACCAACTGACACTCTGTCTGCCCAGCTGTCCATCAGTCCGTCGTCCCCCCCAACCCCCGTTCCCATGCTGGGGATCAAATGTGGGGCTTGGTATACAGCCCACTCCCTTCCCCTGGGCTGTCTCTCCAGCTCCAGACTTTTTTTTTTGTCAACCGAGAATAATATTTTCAGCATTAACGCTTAGAAATCACAGTGGCCAGGCAGCTGGTGCTGGGTGCCTTCAGTATTTCCGTGGCCAAAGGCTTCTTGTGCCGTCTGGTGGGGAACAGATGTGAGCCCTGAAGGCCAAAGCCCAAGGCCAGCACTTTCTTAATTAAAAATGGGAGATTAGCAGCTTCCGGGTGATAATCGGGTTTATCGCCAGAGCGGAGAAGCCTTAGCAGCCCTTCACGGGGATTGGCGGTGCCTCTTGCCAAGGTGGTGATGAGTTTCTAAAACAACACCCTCAAATCCCCCATTGATTTTGGAAACTGGTGCAGACCCTGGAGCCCCATTTCTAGGGCGGGTGTCTGGCTTTCTGGTTCCCAGCTGGGGGAGGAGTGGATCCTAGGGCAGGGGTGGCTTCTGCCCTCCCAAAGTAACCTCCGAGAAATGCACATGCTCTGGGCCCTGGGGACAGACCCCCACTTTACAGGGCGGCAGAGCAGAGCTCTGGGTTCCTGGTCTGCCAAGTGTGGAGTTCCCTCCCGACACCCCAGTCTCCCCCCCAGGCCTCTTTGGGTCCAGGGTCCAGGGAACAGAGCTCCAGAGAGGGTCTGTGCCCGGCCTGTCTACCTCTCTGTCCCTCCCCTTTTTGATCTGATGTGGGGAGTCCTACTTGGATTCACCAGAACTCCCCACTGGGGATGCTGGGGTCCCTTTGCCCCCCACTTCAGCCCCCTCTCTCTGCCCCAGAACGCGGACGGTAAGCTGACGCTGCAGGAGTTCCAGGAAGGCTCCAAGGCGGACCCCTCCATCGTGCAGGCGCTGTCCCTCTACGACGGGCTGGTATAGTCCAGGCCAGAGCTGGGGTGAGTCTGGGACCCGCCCATGAGGCACCCAGGGAGGACAGTGAGGTGCATGGCTTTCTAGGGGCACATGGGGGCCTGCTGGAGGGGGTGTCCTTGGGTCTTCAGGTCAGCTTGCATCCCAGTTTCGAGATTCTGTGTTCTTCAATTCAGCTCTCGGCTTCGTCTGCCGAGGAGCTTTCGTTAGTCAAAGGCAGCTTTAGCCGGGACAGGGGGCCCGCAGGATGGCAATGTCCTGTCCCCACCCCGGGCGGAAGACGCAGGCTTCAGCTGCAGTTCCCATGCTGGCCCGGGTGGCTTTGTGCAGGGTGGGCAGGGCCGACGCTGACCGGGGAGCTCGGGCCCTTCCTGCCTCCTTCCCTTCCTTCTGTGTCCGCCTTGGCCAGGGTGGGGGCGTGGGGGGGATGACCCCCCTGAGGTCCTGTCTTGCTGTGGGCATCTCTGTGCCCAGGTGAACGGCTGTGTCGCTTCTGCTGGTGCCCAGTGAAGGGCAGAGTTTCTGGGACTCAGGGTTCATGTGTGTCCAGCTGCGGGAGATGCTAGCAGAGTTTTCCCAGTGCCAGGGCCACCTTGCATTGCCATGAGTAGTGACAGAGGTCCACTTGTCCCACATCCTTGCCAGCCGTGGTGGTTTCCTCTCTCTGGATTTTACTGTCTGGTGGGTGTGTAGTGATGGCTCGTGTCTGAGGAGTCAGTTGAGGTTGAGCCTTCGGGCCGTGTAGATGGTCTGTTTTACCTATTTGTTTTTGAAGTGATGTGGTCATTGTCCATCACTGCGTACTGCCTGAGCACAAAACAGCAGCTTGGAGGTCCCTAGCCCAGGTCACTCCTGAGGGTATGGCGATGGTAAGTGTGACCGGCTGCCCCAGCTTGCCCAGGAGTACTCTGGATTTGGCACTGAAAGTCCCGAGTCCTGGGAAACGCTCTGTCCCAGGCCGACTGGAGATATCAGCAGCCATTGGTCGGGCTGTGGTTTTATCCAGAGGCTTGGCTGGTGGGGCGTGGGTCCCCCTCGAGCTCACTGGAGTGACATGGCAGCTGGGGTCCCATTCCATGTGGACATTCCACGAAGTTACCTCAGAGCTTAGCTGCTCCAGGGGTGAGCTTTCCCAGAGAGGGGGAGACAGAGCCCAAGGTGAAAGCCCCAGTCTGTGTTTTATCTGAGATGGGGTCTCACTCTGATTCAAGCTGGCCTTGAATGCACTGTGTAGCTCAGCCTGGCCCAAACTCATTGCAGTCCTCCTGCCTCAGCTTCCTGAGTGCTGAGATTACGGGTGTGTGCCATCATGCTCAGACTTCCTTTGTGGTTTTTAACCAGCAGATGTGTGCTGAATATTCTTTTGCATGAGTTGTAGCTCAGTCAAAGCTTCTTGGGGCTGGGGATTTAGCTCAGCAACATAAGTGCCTACCTGATGAACGCAAGGTAATGAGTTCAGACCCCAATACTAAAAAGAGTGAGACAGGGTCTCACTTTGTAGCTCAGGCTGGTCTCAGACTTGCAGTGGTCCTCCTACCTCAGCCTCCTGAGTGCTGGGACTACAGCTGTGCCTCCCCATGCCAGGCATCAGCCAAAGCTTCTTGCACTGCAAAGAACAGACACCTCTTACACTGTCACAGGAAGAGTGGCACAACTGGGTGTGATGGTGCCCACTTGCGATCCAAGACTTGGGGATCACAGGTTCAAGGCCAGCCTAGGCGACTTAGCAGGGCGCTGTCTCCACGAAAAATTATGAAAAGGCTGTGGGTGGGGCTCAGTGGTAGAGCATTTGCCCAGTCATGCAAGGCCCAGGGTTCTGTGCCCAGTACTGCAGTAGTGCAAATAGCAGTCTCCCAGGTCACTGAGAGAGACTAGCGTGCAGTCATGTTTCCCAGAGATGCTGGGGACCCAGAAGGCCACTCTTTCTGAGATGACATAGGCTGTCCCTGCTCTGAACAGCTGCTGTGTTCCTTCTTTTTCCCATGAGCCTTTGCTTCCTCCCATCATGCCTCTGCCACAATGGCCTCCCACCTCTCTTCCTGCGAGGACTTCCTGTTTCCTTCTAGGGCTGATACTTAGTACCTCTTTCTGTTTTATCCACCGCTGATTCCTAAGAGAGGAACCTGATTGGCTCAGATAGTGTCCTCAGATCACCTCCCACCAATCAGGAGTTCAGAGATGCTGACTGTTGTCTAATGAGGGGTGAGCAGTGTCACCTGATCACAGAATGGCTGCAGGGTGGTTGTGGGAAAGATCTGTGGGCAATGGGACTGTACCCCATGCTCTTTTAAAAACTATGCCATACACACACACACACAAACTAATGCCATAGAAGTGGTGACTTCTACTAGTTCTAAAATAAGTACTTTATTTATTTTGCTTTTTTTTGTTTTGTTTTGTTTGAGACAAGGTCTCACTGTGTAGTTTAGGCTTGAACTAACTATGTAGCCCAGGCTGGCTTCAAACTTGCAGTGATCCTCTTGCCTCAGCCTCATGAGTCCTGGGATGACAGGTCTCCGCCACCACATCCGGACAGATTTGCTTTGTTCTAAAACAAAACAGTACCACTGGGCAGTTTCTCCCCATCTCCTTCTGCCTAAGCCCTGGGTGACCGCAGGCTGCTTTCTGTTGGATAGGAAAGGCATCGGGTGCTGTGTGACCCAGCATGTCCGGGGTCTTCTGTACTGTGTGCTCGTGAGGCTCATCCACGCTGTGCCTGGCGCCAGTGCGTCACCCCTCTCTGTGGCCGTGCGCGGGCTGCAGGATGCGGCTGCTCTGCCGTGCTCCTCTGCTGAGGGGCCTCTGCCGCATTTGTGTTCCACCATTGCAGACCACACGGCTGCAGAAGTGGGTTCCCATGTTTCTTTTTTTTTTTTTTTTTTTTTTGTCTTTTTTATCGGTACCGGGGATTGAACTCATGACTGCCTGCTTGCAAGGCAGGTGCTCATGCCGCTGAGCTAAATCCCCAGCCCCCCATGTTTCTTTAGTACCTCCTTGCATGTCTTTGGGTACCGTGTAGGTGCCCAGGAGTGGAGCTCCTGGTTTTTTTTTTTTTTGTTCTGGGGATGGAGTCCAGGGCACACTGAGCCACATCCCCAGCCCTTTTGTATTTTTATTGTTTTGAGACAGAGTTTTGCTAAGTTGTCCAGTCTGGGTTCAAACTTGTGATTCTCCTGCCTCAGCCTCCCTGACTGCTGGGATGAGAAGCATGCGCTTGGGCTCCCTGCTGCCCGGTGATTCTGTATAGCTTTGTGAGGGGTCACTAAGCTGCTGTCCACGGCCGAGCTGTTTCCCATCCCCACCAGGGATGGGCGAGGGTTCTCCACATCTGGGCCCATCCTCCTCCCCTCCTGTCCCCTGCTCTCCCCTGTCCTCCCCTTCCCTCTCTCTCTTTTTTTAATGGATGCCTCTGCCCAGGTGTGATTATATCTCAGTGATTCCCATGTGCATTTCCCTAGTGAGGAACAGTGTGTATTTTTCTAGGTATTTTTGGCCATTCTGCTTGTCATATTTTGCTCTGTTTCATGTTTTGGTGCTGGTGACTGAACTAACCATCTTTGCATTGAGTGACATCCTTGGTCCTTTAAAGATTGGGGTTTTTTTTTGTCTTTTTCCTTTTTATCGGTATCGGGGATCGAACTCATGACTACCTGCTTGCAAGGCAGGCGCTTATGCCGCTGAGCTAAACCTCCAGCCCCCTCCTTTAAAGATTTTTTAAAAATCATTTATTTTTTTTCTTTTGTCTTTTTGAGCCAGGGTCTCGCTATGCAGCTCAGGCTGACCTTGAGCTCACTTTGTAGCCCAGGCAGGCCTCGAACTCACAGCAATCTGCCTGCCTCAGCCTCCCGAGCACTGGGGTTACAGGTGTGAGCCACCACTCCCAGTTTTTTGTTTTAAATTTAGAAGCTGGGCATGGTGGCACACATCTGTGATCTCAGCACTCAGGAGGCTGAGTCAGGATTGCTGTGAGTTCCAGGCCAGACCTGAACTACTTGTGAACTTTGGCAGCTCGTGTTCTAAAGATTGAACTGCGCAGCAAGAGCCTGTCTTGAAAAAAAATCCACAATTCTTCTTTTTCTTTTTTCTAGACAGGGTCTTGTCACGTGGCCCAGGATGGACTTGAATTTTGGATCCTTCTTCCTCAGTTTACCCAGAGTTCTGGGATTACAGGCGTGTGCGCCAGACCTGGCTCCATGTATTATTGTTTCTTGAGACAGGGTCTCACCATGTAGCTCAGCTGGCCTTGAACTCATGGGATCCTCCTGCCTCAGCCTCTGGGATTATAGGTGTGCACCACTGTGCCTGAACATATGTTGTTAATGTCCATGAACTATTTTGACATTTGGGTGTATCCTGACTTTTCAGTTGGTCCCTGAGGTTGGACATTTTGGTAATCGCGCCTTTTCTTTTTTTTGCTATGAGCGAGAAATTTATTTTATTTATTTTAATTTTTTTATTTTTAAGAGAATAAACCCCCCCCAAAATAAAATTGAATAAAACCAATCAAACCAAAGCATTGAAAGTAATACAGGACTTCAAAACAAGGTAACAGGAAATCAACAACGGCTACCATAATATATCTTGTTATATTCGAAATAGCTGCCTCTGCCGTCAGATGCAATAAAATCAAATAAGCCAGGTGTGGTGGCACACGCCTCTAATCCCAGCACTTGGAGGCTGAGGCAGGAGGATCAAGGTGAGTTCAAAACCAACCTGGGCTACAAAGTGAGCTCAGAGCTGGCTTGACCTTCATAGTGAGACCCTGTCAAGGACAAAAAAAAAACCGAACAGAATAAAACCAACAAAACAAAACAATGAAAGTGATACAGGACTTTAAAACAAAATAATAGGGAATTAACAATTCTCTTTTTAGATGTTTCTTCCCCTTTCACTTTCACAGTATCTGCTGTGCATTGTGATCCTAACTGACTCCTTCCGTTTTTTATACTCGGGAGACAACGTGATCTCACCCATGTGAGTCTGAACCATTTCACCTCTGGTTTTTTTCTTTCTTTTTTAATTGGTAGATCGAGGCCTCTACATTAATGGCTACTGCCAACACGCACTGGTTCGTCTCTGCTATGCTTTTTTCCTGCCATTGGCCGCCTACCTTTCCCCCTCCATTCCATTGTCCCACTCAGGGATCCCCTTCTGCCGCTGTTCCTGGAACTGTGGTTTCTATCTCTCTCTAGAATGTCCTTCAGGACTCTTTGTAGGGTTGGTTTGCTGGTCATGAATTCCTTCAGCTGTCCTTTGTCATGGAAGTATCTTGTTTCTCCACTAGTTTTGCAAGATAGTTTTGCAGGGTGCATCAATCTGGGGTGGAAGCTGTTTTCTTTTAGGACTTGGAACGCTTCACTCCAAGCTCCTCTTGACTTGATGGCTTGTGTTGAGAAGTCTGTGGTGATTCTGAAGAGTTTTCCTTCTAGGTGATCTGTCTCATTTCTGTGACAGCCTTCAATATCCTGTTCCTGTGCTGGATTTCTGCGGTCTTGATTATTACCTATCTGGGTGTGGATTTACTTTGTTATGGCTAGCTGGATTCTGTGTGCCTCACTTACCTGTATGCCAGGTCTTTTCTCCATGAGCGGGAAGTTCTCTGCTCTTCTGTAAATGGTCTTTTGTGTCATTTGCGTTGACTCCACTTTTTCACTGACGCCTGCCATTCTTAAATTATTTTTCTTTGCATCATCTTGCAGCCGTTGAGTTGTTATTTCCGGCTTCCGTGTTATTTTTAAGAGATCTTTCCTTTTGCAATTGCTAGGTGCCCTCCTGTCTTCAAGGTCTGAAAAGTCTATTTTCAGTTTCTCTCAAGCAAGTTTCTTTGAGTGGAGTTTTTAATTTCCTGGATCTCTCCTGAGTCTGTCTCCTGCATTCGAAGTGTTCTCTGTATTGTTCATTCAAGGTTCCCTGGCTCTCCTATGCTCCTCTATTTTAAAAGCTGTCTGTTTTAGATCCGCGAGCAGCCCTTTGTTATGTTTCTCATTGCTTCTCTTACCTGAGATGCTGTTTCTGATCTGATTTCTGTTTCAGCCTCATGAAGTAGTTTCTGTACTTCAGTTGCCCTCTTCCCGGAAATACAGGTGTGTGGCTTTGCTTTCTGCTATGTCTGTGTCTCCTGGACGTGTTCTGTGTGGGCTGGAGGCCAGAGATTGCCTTCTGCTCCTTCGTCTTGACATTTTCCTGGGTTCCTCTGGACGAGCGGGTTGTGGGGTCCCAGGCACTTTCTGCATCAGCTGCCTCTCCACAGCGTAGGGGCTGGGTCAGGACCTGGTTTTCTCCTGATCCAGCTTCCCCTGGAGGCGACGGGGTGTGGGCTGGGCTTCTCCAGACCCTCATGGCCTCTCCAGGGCGTGGCTGGCTGGTTCTGGCTCCCTGGGCTCAGCTATGCAGTTTTAGGACTTGTGACATCAAAGGACACTGGCCCCCCCAGGTGACCTCCTAACCGTTTTGCCCCCTCTTCTGTCTTCCAGATGCCTGGGGACACTTGCCTGTCCCGTGCCACGAGGCCACCGCAGCCTGACACCACCTCCCGTGCCCACCTGGTCCCCTTCAGTGGCCACACACATCTGGCCGCCCTTGACCCGCGAGGCCTGGCTCTCCTGCCCCCTGCCCTGTGCCCACCACCACCTGAAGCCACGGGCTCCAGTCGCCAGCCGCCTCCGCTTGTCCAAAACCAGACAGGGCTTGCTGCTGGGCGCGTACTGGCCTCTTCCTCCTGCTGGCCTGCGTACGCTTTGGTTTTTGTTTTTTATTTCAAATGGACATTTTAAAACGAAACAAAACAAAACTACCTTGCGTCCTAGAAGACACTGACTGGTGGGGAGAAGGCCTCGGGACTCAGAGAATCTGCTGGGCCCGGCCCCCTGGGCTGGGCAAAGCCACAGTGGGGCTGGCATGGTCGCCAGTGGTGCCCACCCACTATTTTCCGTGATAACAGTATTGTGCATTTGTGGGGAAAGTGGGGTTTTCTTTCAATCCTCCTATGTAACCACATCCTTTATTTATTGGTTGTTCACGTTGCTGCTGTCCCGGTGCCCCGCATCCCGGGGCCAGGGCCGACGTCGTCCACACCACGCTTGCTTGGCAGGGTTTAGGCCTACAGTGGCCAAGAAGCCAAAAACCACTTTTTTCTCTTCTCTTTCTCTTTTCAAATACTGTGCTTGGTGTCTGCAGAGGGGCAGGCAGCCCCCCCGACGGCTCATGGACTGTTCCCCTCCGCCAGGCCCTCTTGAGCCTCTGCCCCACCCCCCTCCTCTGGATCTGGGAGATTTTCTTCCTTTTTTAAATTAAGGATGAAGAGGCAGCACTTTGCAGCTTCCTCCAGGTAGCCGTGTGGGGAAGGAGCTGTCTGTCTCTGCAGGCCGCTTCACAGGGGTCCAGGATGCTGTCCTCTCTCTGGGGTGGTGGCCTGAGGGCGATGACCATTGTCCCCGCATCCTCCCATGCTGCTTTCTGTCTTCCAGCTGTCTTTTGCAGGGACTGCGTGGCGTCCTGCCTGGTGGCTCTGCATAGGCACTGGAGGAAGTGGGAGAGAAGGTACCCGCCCCTCAGAGCAGATTCTAGCTCTCCTGCCTCTGAGTCAGGGATGGCCCCAGAAGTGTCCCCAGGAGCAGCAGATGACCCTCGTCAGAGGCTGAGCCTGCTCTTGCTTGGTGAATCGGGTCATCCCTTGGCCTCTGAGGCCCCCGCTGAGCCACTGAGCAGGCTGGGAGGGAGGCCTGGGATGGCCAAGCTTGAGGCCCCTTTGCTAGCTTGGCAATAGAATTCAGAGCCTGAGATTCCGCTGCCTGGGTTTGTGGTTCTGTGGCCTGTGGCTGGGTTTTCCAGGCCCCTGCAGAAGTAGGGACTGTCACATTCACTGCTCAGCCCCGCTGTCTCTTCGCCCAAGCTTCTGACGTGGCCCAGCAGTGGGCTGCTGGTGTGTGGCGTCCAGTCTGGAGCCCAGTGTGTCCCATGATGCCTTGCACCTCCCTGCTGTGTCCCCAGACCCTTGGACCCAGGGCTCATCCTCACTGAACAGGTCCCCAGAAAGAGTTCTTGCTTCTGCTGCATAGAGTACGGTCTCCCGGGCCACACCCAAGAGGGACAGAGCTGGCCTTTGGTCCTGCTCGGGGAGATCCCCGGTCTCCACCCCTGCCCCAGCAGTCTGGAGCCTCCCTGCCATGGGCCGGGGGACAGCTCCTGCCCTGGGCCAGTGTGACACAGCCTGCATCTCCACCCTCAGCCCCAGATCCCGAGGGAACAGGAGCAGGAAGCCACCCTCAAGGTAGCTTTGAAGGGTGGGACCTTTGAGGCCCTGCAGGGTGGCTTCCTGCTCAGCCACCAGCCAGGGAGGTCTGAGGGCTTCTGTCCCGCTCCTGCCAGGACCCCAGGGCAGGGGGTGGCTGGATGGTCTAGGGCTAACCATGGGCCTTTTCCTGGTCATCTCACCTCTGCCTCCCAGAAGCCGCACTGGCCTCTGTCCAGTCTGGAGGCAGGAAGGCTGGGGAGCTGGCTCAAGGACTGTCAAGGGCTGGGTTGTGTTCCCTCCCACTGTCACCTCATCCTGTCGTGGGGAGCCACAGGTGTCGTCCTTGATGGTGACCCTTGTGCCCATGCCTCGGGCACATCTTTGGCTCTTGCCCTGAGACAGTCACAGCTGCCCGCAGGGACACCCCCTTCCTGGTGGAGAGCTGGACACTGGCCATTTCCGCTCCAGGCCAATTCTGTCCCTTCCTGTCACCAGACTTGTAAAGGCGGCTGGCATCTTTAGGGCAGGCCACCCCCCGAACAGCCCAAGGGCCTGACCCCAAGGCACTTTTCACCTGCAGCCCCACCCTGGGTGACACCCCTTGCCCCTCTTCAGGGCCAGCCCCTCCATCCCAGGCACAGCCATGAGCCCTGGGGTCCAGGGGCCTGACTGGCCTCGTCTCCAGCATCTGCTTCCTACTTTGTGCTGATGGTGACTTAGGAAATGTCACGACTTTCAAATATTTAACCAAGCAACGTTTAAAATAACCTGCAGGCGAATGTATGTCACCCCTTCTGAAATGCTTTGTGGCTTGACAGCTGATGTCCTCCACAGGAGTCCCCGGGCTCTTGGGGACGTTGTTTCTTCTCCCGGAGGAGGAGGGGAAGGACGGGAAGGATGCTGGGGACCTCTGGCGTCTTCCTAGGAGAAAGCCCGGCATCTTCCAGGGCAGGGACCTCGTTGATAAGCTCTTGAGGACGTGCAGGGGCGCTCCCTGGTGGTGACAGGCAGCGACTGCGTCTGGGAGCTCTAACCTGCCTAGCAGGGGTGCAGGTCAGCCGCCGGGCGACCCGAGGTCCCTGGGCTGCTGGATTAGCGAGGTGTTGCCCAGGTGGCCTCTGAGGTAGTCCGAGGAGCTGGTGAGTCAGTCCAAGGGCACTGATTGGAAGCCTTGCCCTTCCTCCCTCCTTTATTATTTTTTTAAAAACTCTGCGGAATAAATCCAATGGTTACTTTTTGGATGAATAAAAGGCTTTTGTTGAATAAACAGTGGGTCCCATCTCTGTCTTGCCAGTGGCATCTGATCCCCGAGACCCTGTGCCCCGTCTCACCCGGTTGCCAGCTTCCTCCGGGACTTGGGGTGAGGCCCTTCTGTGGGCCTCAGTTTCCCCCCACGCACATAGAAACCCGGCTGCCTGCCAGGGCCGAGGAGAAGGACTCGGGTGCCTGCCATGCGTGTTCCTGTCTCTTGCTGCTTGGCTTCCCAGCTCCTTGGAATCCGTTCCAGGTTCTGTCCTGTCTGTGTCCCCGGGGGAGTGCAGGGAGGCCCCTGCCTGGCAGTGCGGGCCAGGGTGACAGGGCTGTGCGCTTGCCCTAGCCCCCACCTGTGCGCCCCCTGTATGTCGTCTGTGTCGTGCAATTAAACACGCTTCCTGGACCTGTCCTCGCTGAGTGTGGGCCTGTTGCTTTGTCTGTTTCTGTTTCTCTGTTTCGCTTCAGTGGTCACCCTCACTCCCAGCCCACTGTCATCCAGAGGAAGCCTTGTCCCCTGTAGGACACAAAGGATCAGAGATGTGATGGTCCTTTGGAGCTTGCAGAGGACACATTAGTTCAAGTGACAAGTCAGGAGAGTAAATACCACTTAGAGACCTGTCACTCCTAACCAGGTAGGCTGATGCACGCTTGTAATCCTAGCTACTCAGGATGCAGAGGCAGAAGGATCCCAAATTCAAGGCCAATTTGGAAAGAGCCTGTCTCAAAATTAAAAGGGGGGGGGGCATATAACTCAGTGTGAAGTCCTGGGTTCAATTCCTAGCACTCTTCTCAGAAGCAAAGACCTATTCCTCTCTAGGCCTAGGCTCTTGGAAGGCACAGGGGGCATGAGGGTGACAGGATCCAGCCCCTCCACCAGGGGGAACAAGCATCTGCCTGCAAAGCCTGGCCACCTCGCCCAGCGAGTTTCTGCAGGGAGGGCCCAGCACACCTCCTACTCCGAGGGCGCCTGGATGCCATGCCTGGCCCCCGCAGAACTCCAGAATTGAAGGCAGTGTGGAACAGTGGTTAGGGGCGTGGCTTCCAGAATCAGATGCTCCCATTTGACCGGGCCATGGGTTCTGACTGCCAGGGTAAAAATGTGCCCACCCCCCCGGAGAACCTTTCCTGTCTGTTTCCTGTACAGGAGTTTCTGCCATGTAAACACATGCTGTGGTACAGGCTTTAAGAATGCTGCATATTTAAAATGCTGAACCATGTGTGGTGGCCTATGCCTGTAGTCTCAGCACAGGAGGCTTGAGCCGGGAGGATCGCTGGTAGTTCAAGAGCAGACTGGGCAACAAAGTGAGTTCAAGTCCAGCAGATAGGAGATACATAGTATCTGTCTCAAAGAAACAAAACAAAAATGGCTGATGGGGCTGCCTCCAGGTATCCTTGACTGCAGCACTGGGCCACAACAGTGGGCACAGAAAGGGCCTTGAAGGTCACCTGAGTTTAGGTAAAATGAGCTCAAGTAGGTGTGGCAGAGCCCTTTATCTATTCTCTTTTTAGCTGTGGAATGAAGGACTACATTTCCCAGGCTCCCTTGGGGTTGAACATGGTCATGTGACTCAGTTCTAACCAATGGAATGAGAGCAACCAGTGCCACTTCCCTCCCTCCCTTCTTTTCCTTTCTGTTGGTTGGGACCAAGTCTACCTAAAACCAGGTCCCCAAGCCTATGAAGCCACCACACCAGCCCAGGGAATGATAACATTGGGACTGTGGCAAGCAGGAGAACAGACTTCTAGCTCATGGATGCCATCCTGAGTCTGTCCACAGCCCGGTAGACTGTGTGAGCCTTGGTCTCCCTCTAGATGATCCCAGCCCCCTACAAATAAACCCTCTGCGCTCCCCAGAGTCATCTAATAAAGGACTGCAAGGTGTACAGCACAGTCGCTAACACTCACGCCTGCTCCCGCCCTCCTTCCTTTCCTCTAGCCCCCTCCACCTCCGAGGCTCAGGGCCTGGGGGGTCTCAGCTGGAAGGATTCTTGGGGACGCCTTTCTTTTGCTGAAAGACCAGGGGACCAGAGGTGCTGGATTAGCAGGGAGCCCAGGGAGGTCCCAGAAGGTGCAGCCGCAGGGAGGGCACAGGGCAGGCTGGGCTCAAGAAGTACTTTGCCAGAGGTTCGAGCCTTGGGGACCAGTCTGTCCAATCTCCTGCCTCACAAATTGGTCCCTTTTCCCAGGGACCCCTAAGAAGCCATTCACAAAAGAAGTGAGAATGTGCTAAAGAGGAAGCAGCTTTGGGGGGACGGGATCAGGAAGCAAAGCGGGGAACAATCAACTTGGCACCGCTATCCTAGGCCAAAGGTAGGTCTTAGCTTAACGCTGGATGTTGGCCATCCAGAAGTGATACTACGGAATGTTCACGTGACTTGGGGACCCTGAAGACCGGATTGGCCTGCTGTGTGTCACCAGCTCAATGCTCAGGGCAGCTGATTTGTGTGACCTCAGAGGCCAGGCTGGGGCTTATCCTGAGGATGTGTGTGATTCAGAGGCCAGCCTGGGAGATGAAGGGAGCGGGGGAGGGACCCCTATCACAGGGAAACTCAGGCCCCCTCCAAGGGTCAGGTTCTACACCACAATTGCCAAACCTCATCCAATAATACAGCGTGGACTCCGGGAAGGGATTTCTAGGCGGGAGCCGGAGGCTAAGAAGACTCCTCAGCAGCTTCCAGAGGCACGGGCAGGAGGTTGGAGGTGAGGCATGCCCATGCCAGGCCTTGAGCACCTCGGGCACACATGCAGCCTGGGTCAGAGCGCATGCATGCACACCCAGGCTACAGATACTGCCCACATGTGGGTGCTATGGGCATCTGATGGGTCAGAGCTGGGTCACAGGACCAGTCTCAGCCCTGGTCCTTTGTTCTAGGTGGTTTTCTGCCTATCTAAAAGAGTTTCAGGGTAGGAAACGGTCAAGAGGGAACAGAGAGATGCAGATTTTTTGTTGTTGTTTTGAGACAGGGTCTCGATGCAGGCTGGCCAGGAACTCGTGGTGATCCTCCTGCCTCAGCCTCCTGAGTGCTGTAAACATTAGAATCTTTTAGTGGTGAACCCGCAAAGAAAAGGCATGAGGTCTTTCTGGGAGGTGGTGGGGGCACAGGTACTCGGAACGCACAGCACTGAGGCACTTTCTGTGTCTTGGAAAACCTGTCAGGATGTGTCTGTCCGTCTGTCTCTCTCCCTTTCTCCCGTGCTGGGGATGGCACCCAGGGCCTCCCACATGCTATGCGGGTGCTCACCACTGAGCTGCACTGCCAGCCCTTTTTATTTTACTCTGAGGCAGTCTCACCAAGTTGCCCAGGCTGGCCTCGAGGTTGTGATCCTCCTCCTGCCTCAGCCTCCTGAATAGCTAGACTGTCAGGCCAGTGCCGCACACCCAGCTAGGCTGGCTCTTCTTCACAACTCTGCGCACTTTGTTAGCCGAGGGAGGGTAGCCCTGAGCCCTGCACACCCCATACTCTGCACTAGATGCACCCTGCACTCGCTTCCAGGGTCTCATCCTGTTTAATTCTCACGGCCGCGCCCCCTCGGGGCTGATACTAGTATTACACCCCACCTTTTTCACTCAAGGTTTCGCTAGGGGCTTACGCTCTAGGAAAGGGCACGGTTTTGGGGAGCAGTAAGCAGCCAGTTGCCCCTGGTCCGGAGGAGGAGCCCACCCTGTGGTCCTGAGTCAGGAGGGAGCTGGAGGTGGAGGGAGAGGTGGCCTGGCCCCGGGAGAAGGGTTCCGCTCAGCACTGCCGGTGCGGTGCATGGTGCCCCATCGCGGTGGAGCTGAACCGCAGAGATTCAGCGCCTCGCCTAGGGCCACACAGCCAGTGGACGGCGGGGCCTACTGGACACAGAGCCATGATGGCCCCATCCTGTGACTCACCATGTTTGGCCTGGTGTCCTCTTCCCGGGTGGCCTGGAACTGGCTCTTCCCAGCAGCTGGGATTTTCCATCCGGTCATGGCGAAAAGCCTGTGTGTGTGTGTGTGTGTGTGTGTGTGTGTGTGTGTGAATAGCCCAGGCTGGGCTTGAGCTCATGTTCCTGCCTCAGCCTCCCCAATGCTGGGATGACGGGCGTGTGCCGCCGTGCCCGGCTGCAATGCCATGTCTTCGTGCAGGCAACCCCAGTGCAGCAGGGAGATGGTCAGACCGTGCTGGCTTCTGTCCTTCATGCCATGGCAGGACAGCAGTGACCCAGACATCCTCCAGACTTGGCCTCACCCTGGCCCTGAATGATGGCTGATGTCCCTTCTCCTCTGGATGCCTGGCCCAGGGTGGGGGACACTGTATTGGCCGCGCCTGTGCTCAGCTTCCCACCCATGCAGTGGGGAAACAGAGCCATGGGCGAGCGGCCGGGAAATCACATGGAAAACCTCAGGGGCAGAGAGGTGGTGATGCCCCCTCATCCTCTCCACCCCGAGTCACTGTCCCTTCCCTTGGCCCAGCATCCCTGAGGGCCCCGAGTGAGGCTGCGCCCCAGATCCTGTTCCAAGCCCACACTGGAGAAAGCATGCCTGAGGGCGGAGCCTGTCCTACGGCTGCCCCAGAGCCGCCCAGCATTCTCGAGGTGCCAAGAGCTCACTGTGTGCAGTGCAGCCCTGCATGAGGCGGAGGGTCCGCCTCATGGCTGCTGTGGTCTAAAGTGTTTTGTCTCACGGTGTAGCCAGGCTGGCCTGGAACTCATGACCCTCAGGTCAGCCTCCTGGCTCTCATCCCTGCAGCCTCGAGGACCCAGGCAGCAAGGTGAAATTGGAAGCTGCACCCCTGGGGCTATGCCGTGTGCGGGCTCTGTTACAAGGTTGATACCCGGAAATGCCTAGATCAACACCTGCATAAAGTGAGCTCACTTTGCCCCAGCCTCATCCTCCCCTATCTGCCCTGCCCTTGTTTCTCGCACTGGGGGTGGAACTCAGCACTTCTGCACTGAGCTCATTCCCCAGCCCTTTTTAATTTTCATTTTGAGACAGACTTTCACTAAGTTTTCCAGGCTGGTCTTGAACTTGAAATCCTCCTGTGGCAG